AAAAAAATTCAAACCAGATTCACTACTATCTAGTTGATTCTGAGTCACAGTGACCCAATAGGACAGAGTAGAACTAGCCTAGTGGATTTCCAAGAATATTTACTGAAGTAGAAAGTCTCATCTTTGTCCTCCAGAGATGCTAGTGGTTTCAAACTACTGGCCATATGGTTGGTAGACCAATGTATAGCCCATTATGCCACCAGAACACTGTGGTTAAAATCAGGACTTCTCCAGTTCAGTTCCCAAGTCTACTACCTATTATCATGTGATCTTGGGAAAACATATTGACCATTTTATAAAACAATTCTATAAATGTGAACAACCACGATATCTGCATTATAAGATTGTGTAAGATTTATGTAGGTTACTGTATTTATGTACTGCCATTACCAAGGTCAAAACTTTTCTTGAAATGTTCTCAAAATTCATGTAAGCTATATTGAAGATTGTTGCTTGGTTCTCATAAACTTGTTCGAATTTCTTCAGCTTCAACTTGAATAGACCTATCGTGTGAGTAATTGATGGTCAGCTCCATAGTTGGTGCCTGGCTTCCTTTTAGCTGCTGATACTGAACTTCTCTATCTTCTCCTCCATAGATGGAGTCAATTTGATTTTTCTGATCCATCTGGAGAAGTCTACATGTATAGTAGAATCTCGTGTTGTTGAAAAAAAACGTATTAGTGATGAGAAGTCATTGGTCTTGCAAAATTCTATCATGCAATCTCCAAGTTAATTTCTATCACCAAGGCTACATTTTCCAATTATGAGAAAGTCTCAAGAACAAATGTGACACATTGCAGATTAGTGGCAGTAGACTTATGACATAACATCAAGAATACCATACATGAAATAAGCAAAAGGTCATCCAAACTAAAAGCACAATCCAAGTGGATGTCAGAAGAGACTCTGAATCTTGCTCTCGAGCCTAGAGCAGCAAAGGCGGAAGGAGGAAATGATGATGTAAAAGAGCCGAACAAAAAATGTCAAAGGGCAGTTTAGAAGGGCAAAGTGTAATATCATATTGAAATATACAAAAAAGTAGTGCTGGAAAACCAAAAAGCATATCTTAAACTCAAAGAACTAAAAAAAAAAATTCAAGTGTCAAGGGCCAATATTGAAAGATTCTATGGGCAAAGCATTGAACCATCCAGGAACCATCAAAAGAAGATGTAAAGAAACCCCACAATCACTGTACCAAAAGAGAACTAATTGGCATTCCACCATTTCAAGAGGTAGCTTGTGATCAAGAATCAATGGTACTGAGCAAAGAA